GAGGCGGGAGCGAGCGCGGTCAAGCTCCAGTCGGCCGGCAGGGCGCAGCGAGCGCGGACGAGCGGGGCCACAGCCGGAGCGCCGAAGCCGAGCGTGCCGAGGGAGCGTGCGTGGGGTGGTGTGTACAGTGTGTGGGGGAGAGCGTAGCGGCGCGGCGTCGAGCGAGCGAGTGTGTGTGCGCGTGTGGGGAGCGGACTCGAGTCGCCAGCGTGGCGCTGTGCTCGCGGGCCAGGTGCGGCGTGGGGCGGACGGCAGCGATGCCGCCGTCGCCGCTGCCGCTCATTCAGACGTCGCTGTCGTCGGTGCACGCGACGGCGGCGCCGGCGTCGATGCATCTGCACGCGCGGCATCAGCCGGAGGAGGAGGCCGGCGGGATGGACCAGGGCGGGCTCACCTGCCGCGTGCAGTTCCTCAACGACATCGATCCCTTCACGTACAGCACGCACTTCCCGGAGCCCTCGCGCCCGCCCGTGCACACCTTCAGCGCCACGCTGCCGCTCATCAACCAGCTGGCCGCCGTGCATCGCCTGCTCCGCGCGCCGCACAGGGTGAGTGCTCTGCTCGTGCACACACAATCCACTCACGCGGAAGCCCCAACGTGATCCCCTGCTCCGTGCTCATGCACACTCAGTAGGCATTGGTTCACAGAGACATTGTGAAAGAAATACTTCATCCCGTGCGCCGCACGGACGGTGAGTGCTCTGCTCACGCCCACAGAAGTCACTCGAGGCTCTTACGAGCACGACGATGCCCCAAAATGATGCGTTGGTTCACGGAGACGTTCTTATGAAATAAATACGTTCATCCTCCCCTTTGCGCGACACACAGGCTCAGTGCTCGTGCCCACCGTAATCACAATTCCTAAACAACGAGGATGCACCCGACTAACGTATCAGGAGGTTCGTGATTGCACGTAGATATTCATTTAATCAAATCAATGTACGTTCTGTTCCTTGTTCTGCACTGGAGCAGTGCTGAGATCACATTACTCACTACGACCGATTCATTCCTTAACGCCTAAGGAAGGTCGCCTAGACGGTTTCGGCTTTCATAACATTCTTTCAAAACATATGTGTGCATCGCAGAGTCGTGAACCTCTATTGGTGATCGCTTATTAAATCAGATTTTTTTAAAAGTACTAGTAAGATCGAAGCAAAAAAATATGAGGATCATCTTTGCATGTAAATATTCATAAAAAATTTGTGTACGTTACGCTTTATTTACTGCACAGGTTGAGTTCTAGCAACACAGCAATACATTTATTCTTCAACGAGATGTTCCGAAAGTAATGTATCGTAAAGATCGCATTTGAGGTGTTGTAGCAAAACAGAGAGAGGGTACCGGCATGAGCCCCTAAAAGAGTGAGAACTCAGTCCACTGCATATATCTCTCACCAACAGCAGCTTCCTTTCTTGAGCGTGAGGGAGGTCCGATCAAGAGTATTATGACTCGGGTGATGTTTTTGTTTGCAAATGGACATTGTTGCAAAACAAAAGCGTGTAAAGTGAGCTTCACGATGTGAGTACTTGCGTCTACAGTATTTACCGCAATCATTTCCCTTTTCAAAGAAGTTCCGACTTCTTCGATTCGCGTTTTGTTGTAGATGGTCTATGGGAAATAAAATTTGGTGTGAGTATGAGGGAGCCTGTACGAGATGAACACTTGCGGCCAATTTCCAGAGTACTCGACAAATCATATAGCGAGGCGAAGCTGTGACGAGTATTATGATACAGCTGAAGTTCTCGTTTGCATATATACATTCTTGTAAAACAAATGCATGCACAATCGGCTCCGTGAACTGTACAGGACGTGAGTTCGCACCCATCGCTCCTCGTGCTTACCCGATTCTCTGCTTAATAAACATGAAGCGGCCGCTTATAGTGGTTCATGCAAGTCAAATAAATAGAGTTGAAAATACATCACGTATTCTAAAAAATTGAAAACACTGAGAATTTCCAACTGGAAATAAATAGGTCTAGTTTCGAGGTTCGTGATTGCGTGTAGATATTTCAGCAAAACAAATTGTTACTACTTGACACGGAAACCTGGAATTCGCAATGAACCCGCCGTCACTCTGTCTGCACTTTCGGATGCAAGAGAAGAGTAAGAGTAACAACTGGTCATTCTCACATTCTGGTTTCAAAGGATTTAGACCATGTGTTAATACTTCGTACAAACCTTTCTCGCATATTTTTATAATGCCAAATATATTCACATACGTTGCACGTCTCAGACTGTGAAATATGCCTTTCTAGCTAAGCTTTCATGTAAATCTATTTCAATTCATGCAATTCATATTGTAAGATTAAGAACAAAATATTGCCCATGTCCGTTGTAGTGCTAAACGAAACCGTATATCACGAGTACATTGCATGTCAAACATTCATTTTACGGGTTTTGTAGTGACTCGGTTTGAAAATTTGATTCTAATGGCCATTTAAATCAATGTTTTACAGACAACTGTTAGTCAATAATGGTAACTACCAATATATTAATGCCAATATAGACTTTAAGTATGAAGTGTCGTTATTGAAGTTGTTCGCCCGTTTCGCAGATATTTTTCGTTCAGACGTCATTACTGATAAAAATAACATTCTCGCAGATAAGGATAACGGGACAAGATTGTATATCGATTGAGTTAATATTGAGGTTTGACAATTAATATCTTCTCAATTTATTGGATTTTGGTCGTTAGATTTAGAACGGAAATATTCGTACATCTAACATTTAGTATTTCTGTGATGTTGCTGTCGGTTGAATTCACATTAAATTGTTTTGTCATGTTTTTCAATGCTAGTTATTATCTCTCATTTATAACGTTAAGTTACAATGTTTTTTACCAATATTTCAGCTAAATGTTTCAATATTAACTTGTATTTTGTGAAATAGTATTCACTTCGTGTTTTCGACACTTTCAGCTTTTTCGTACTTGGGTTCAAATTTTAGATAATTCACACTTTTATTTGAATTAATCATAAAAATCTATGATTATTATATTCGTAAATGAATAATACCTTTCTACTTGCATAGAAACGTTAGAAATTGTTTCCTGTGTTTTTTATTACAAACATGTTCAGGATTTACACTCTACATTTGTAGTATTGGATTAATATGAACTGAATGATAATAACTTAATTCTAAAAATTACACTTTTTAGGGAGAACTCCTCTGTGAGAAGACCCTTAGGGTAGTTAAATTTCGGAATACTTTGTAAGGAAGGAATAAAAAGAAATTTATTGACTAAATTTTAATATATTTTTAATACGGTACCATGAGTGGGGTTTCTTCCTAACCAAGGGGACGTATTCTGGTACTAGTGCTCTCCAGTATAATAAATTTTTAATAATGTTCGTTGTCTCAGTCGCTAATTTCGATCAGCTGTATGAAAGGATCTTCAGAAGTTACGCGAATTGTGAGACTTGCTATTGCGTGCTTCTTGCCGCATACACAAAACTCATTGAACGACATACATGCATGTTAAAACGTGAAGAACTATAATTATACCCCCCAAAAAAGTAAAAAGATCAAGGAGTGTTAGTCGTGACGTCGTGTGATGTAAGAGGTAATTTGTTTCTGTGAATTGATGATGCAAGTGGTGTTAATGTAACTCTGGACCAAGACGATATGATGCAGTAAAAATAAAGTAGAATGACGAAAGTTGCAATTGCATCCTCGCGGAAAGTCGTGCATGTGCAAAGTCGTGCATTCCTTACGATTATTTTCCTCTTAGACCGTCCTGACACTGAAATGACTGAAATTATTTCATGTGTGTGCTTACTTGTACTATCTCTTTCCAATAGAATAAACAGTACTCTGTCAATATGAAACTGTATAAGTTCAGTTTTGCGTAAATAAATTTAATAAAGTACATAAAACCTGTACTTTTATAGAATATACCTTTACTTTTTTCAATATAATGACTATGAATTGTATTATAAAAGTCAATTAATTGTTGAAATCTCATTCATCTCATTAATGTTCCTCCACCATTGAGAAATATTGTACATTTTGAGTTTAAAATTTTCAGAAAAAGGTGTAGACTTTCAGTTTATATTTTGGGAAGTTCTCTCTTCATTGTACAACTTTATTCTCTGGATATGTAATAAAACAACTCGGAGAAAAAAATTTCCTACACATAAGAAAATCATTGTTACTGTAATACTAATTTCGAATGCGTGAAGTATTTGAAAGAAATTTATGCATCTCCGGACATGTGAAATGTGTTTTTTGATATGTTGATTTGTAGGAACTCGGGAAAAATTCAAACACAATGAAACATTTTTAATTTTGAGTGAAAAACGCAAAAAATTAATTACAATAGTTCACCTATTCTGATACTGCTCTCGCTGACTAAATACGTCCCTGCGCTACTGATGTCGTGCGATAGCAAGACTCGACAAGTACGCTAGCCATTAAAGTTTAGCTATTCACGTGTTGCGTTACGGAACAATACTTTTTTTAATATTATTGATGTGAAAAGAATTGTTGTACTATGTATCCAGTTGGTTGGTTGATTAGTGATTCCGGGCGCGACAGCTGCTAAGGGTATTTGTCCCGTAAGTGTAGTACGTGTTGTATAGCGGGAGGGGATGATAGTCTCCCGCTGGATGGTGATATCCCGTGCTGATATACCGTCGGCTAATGGGGTTTCACCCAACTATCTCCAACCAGCATGGCACCGCCCTCCCAGGGACAAAATCTAAGCTTCCGACCGGTCTCCCAGTGTGTGTGTGGTAGTGTAGCGCATGTGGGTATAAGTGTGTGTAAGTAAGGAGTACGATAGGACAAAAAGTGGAAAGGAAAGATCGCGCGCGGTCCGTGGCCCGTTTGGTAGGATACTGCTCCGGCATTCGCCTAATGAGCGGAGAAACCAACGGAAAACTACCTCAGAGCAACCGGCGGCTAGACTTCTCCAAGCAGCGACAGAACTCATCCTGGATAGTGTCGAAAATTCTGCCGTGCCTCTGACTGGGAGGACCCCAAGACCTCCCGGCACGGCCGTGACAACAGTTGATGCTCTGAACCACCTCTCCCAGTTGTACTCAGTATCCGTATATTGCAGTTCTCGTGAACTGTTTTTGTTCCAATATTCAATTTGTTGCAATTGTGAATATTTCATTTGTTCTTTAGCAATGTACGTTCTACTGTTGGAAAATCATTAAATTATTTGTGCGTGTTCAGCAAAATTTGTGCTGCCGCAGGCGATTAATATCTTTCTAAAACTCTTCAAATGCTTAAACGTAGCCCATATGGTGCGTGCGTACACACATGTGACTGCAACCACAGCTACATATCATTCGCTTTTCTGCACGTCATGGGTGTCTTACTCTTGGCAGATTTATGAAGACATCAGCAATAACGGCGCATCCAGCAGGCACAGCGACGTAGTCCTTCAGCGTCAGGAGTGATGTGACCGTCGCTGATGTGTGTCGAGGGCCGAACTGTTCGCGGCACGCAATGCCGAAAGTCGGTTAAGAGACGTTGCACACCCGCATATGTGTGGTAAAATGTCAAAAAATGCTGGTATATCTATATGATATTAAATTAA